TGAAATACATTTGCTTTATTAATGTTAGTACACTTCACATGAATGAATGACTCATTCACCAATAGTAAGAGCTTTGTTCCTAAGTAGATAATTTTGTAAATAAAACAAATGTATAACCTGGCATAAAAGGAGTCTTTAAGGAAGAATATGAAAATATGAGAGAAGAACATGTCTGAATTACATTGTCAAAATGTTTTCTAGAACCCCATGTGCCTCTTTTCTATTAGATTTCATGCCCAGAAAACTTTTTACAAGTTCTTATCTCCTCTACTTCTATTTACTTCCTATAGATCCTTTTTATTTTCTGTTCTTTTTTAAAAAATACAAATTATTTGGAAAAGCAGAATCACTAACATAAAAAAGAATTGGAGGTTAGAAGACAATTGAGTCTGGAGGATATGGAAAGATTTTAAATATGAATAATCTTTAAAATACTTGTACTTTTAAATCAAAGTTTGGTTTGCCTTTTAAAGTCATAATGATTGTGAAGTCTGTATATTGTGTGTGTGATAATAAAGCATTTTAAGTATGTATGCATTATGGTCAGAACTATGAAATCAAGTTTTTAATATGTCTAGATAGTTCTTATTTTGTTGAAGTCAATTTGATTTTACATTTTTTTAGACTTTTATTTCAATGTCACATTAATTTAAGAATAATCTTTTCAAATATGTGTGCATTAAAAATATAGCCTTTTAATCTCTGAGCTAGATTCCTATATTATTTTTCAATAAAGTACACATTTAAAATAAATTAATATTTTTATGAATGCTCATATGTGGTCTTGGAATATATTTTGATCTATTTAAACTGCTTTTATCTAATAATTATATTTTAAAATAATAATACTCATAACAAATAGTACTTTGAGTAATTTATGCTAAAAATGTTCTAAAGATTATCTAGCACTATGTACTTCTAGAAAAAAGCATGAATGGGTGTGATTTAGAAGACTTGTGGAAAAAATTAAAGAGATTTAAGTTTTCTATCATAATAATGCCTGGCTACTGGATGCATCACCTATTTTACTTCTACTACTAT